GCCTCTTGGGCCAACGGTGCCTGGGAGGACTTTGCTGTGGGACCGGTTTGCAGTGTTCTGGGGGTGGAGGCAATTGCAATCTGTTGCTGAAGGTTTTGGGTTTTTTTTTTTTTCCTGTGTGACATGCTTAAATACAACTGCTTATGGAAGCGCTCTGCCCTGCAACTTTCCTGCTTTGGGGGGGCGGGGGAAGTTTGAAATTATCAAAATACCAATATGAATGCTTTTCAGCAGGGAAAGTTCTGGGTTTTTTTTTTTCGTTTTAAATGAGCATTAGTTTAAAACAAATTAATTTTATTAAATAGTTTTTTGCTTTCAGCTGAAAGCTGAAACGTATACAAACAGAAATTTGTATACTTTTTGAGAACCGATAATTTTTGTCTCCCCTTATTTGGTTTGGCAAACTTTAAAAACTTTGACTCTGCACATAGTCTTGGATGAGAAAAACTTCTTTTATTGATAACTTATTATGGGACCAGAAAAAATTTTTCTCTTCGCATCCACTGAAAGAGGGTAAGTGGATTCTACCAAGGCTTTGAAAGGGAAAGAATTCTTGATTAAAAAATCTTCTAAAACTAAGGCTTTTTTTGAGGAGGGACCATCTTTTGCTTTGTGCCTGTAGCGCACCAGGCGCTTCAGAGCTGCACTTAGGAGCGTTAAGTGCTGTGGCAATGCTGCTACCAGAAAACGCCGTGTTTGCCCATTCCTCCTCCGTGGTAGCTCACGGTAAGCATGTACTGTCACCGAGAGTGGTAATACGCTGCAAGCATCCTAAATTTGTCTAGTCCTTAGTACGGTTCGTGAGCATTAGCGCCAACACAAAGTGGAGTGGAGAAAAGAAGGCAGGAGCACTCCTTCCACTAGCAACCCCTAATTAGATTGGTGTAAAGCAACACTGAAAACAAAGCCCTGGTGGCTTGCTGATGGCTGTACAGAAAATCTGCACTAGAGTGGAGAATGGATCCTGGCCCTACAGGCTCACAACTGGATTGTTGCTGTTCTTTGTCCAAGTGGGACTCCTGCTGTGCCCAGCCTCCTTTCTTCCCTTTCCCATCTTCATAAAGTACAATAGCAGAGCTGGTTGGTTCCCCTTGGAGGTTTGAAACAAGTCAAATTCCATTAAGGTCAAGTGACCTCTAGGAGACAGGTGTTTCAATATTGGGTCCTCCCTGAATCCCAGTGGAGCATGTGCTCTGCTACTCAGTGTTGGATGTTCTCACAGCCTTTCCCTTTTCTCTAGGCTCGGATGGAGGTAGATGCTGACGGAAATGGTGCTAAAATATTTGCTTACGCGTTCGACAAAAATCGTGGAAGGGGATCTGGCCGTCTCCTGCATGAGCTGCTCTGGTAGGTATTGTAAGGAGAGCTAAATACTTTAAGGGTTCACTAAGGTGGAGTTTGCTGCCACCAACTTGTATGTTGTTTATTTCTCTGCCTGTAGTATTTTAAGTCTTCTCAGGAGGCTTGCGGCTACACTCAGTTGGAAACCCAGCACAGGGGGTGCCCATAGATCTTATTATGGCTTGGTTTTATGCTGAGCCTTCAGACAGCTGAGTCCCTGTAAAAACATTATTCCATGGAAAACAGTGATAGGTGAGTATTATTCTAATGGAGACCATTTAAATCTGAGAAATGCTGTTAAAACTTAATTTCAGGGGTGGGGGAGCAGGGAGCAGGGGACTGGCTTCATTTAATAGGTGAAGACTATTAGGTTGACTATTTAGTAGACTAACCTTTTGAGTTTGGGGTTTGGTTTTTTTTTTTGGTCCCATGATAATCAGGTACGTCTTACTGACAACAGTGAGAACTGGCAGAGCACTGGAGAGAGATAGAACCTCTGATAACTTAAAACTTTGGGGATTTTTGTTTGGCCTTCTGGAAAGCTGCCTCAAGTGGTGCTGATGGTGCTTCGTATCAGCTGCTATGTCTTATTTTCCATATTTTAAGAATCATTGCTTGATATCCTTTCTAGCTGCCAGTTTAGATTCAGAGGCCAGCTTACTCAGTTGTGAGAGATTAGTTCATCCAGTGAGCTAATAGCTGCTCTTTCTAGATTTCTACATGGGTTTGTAGAAAAGATAGGGTATGCTAAAGAGAACTGTTATTTCTTTTAAAAGCCTTTTTTGAGAAATTAAGCATGTTTTATATTCAGTTCCATAAACTATACTTAGCAGTCACAGTGCCCAAGATATAGCTGTGCTTTCTTTGTTGTTCCAGGTTACTTTTTATTCCCCAAACTAGTCTCTGTACAAGAGGAGGGAGACAGGAAGAATATGAGGGGCTGTTACTATTATTTACAATCTGGTCATTAAATATGGATTTTAACCTGCATCTGTTAATGTTTAATCTTGTTGCACATATAACTTTGAAAATTATTACGAGGTTGGCTGCAGTATGTGGGATAAATCACTGTCAGCTACTGCTAACTGTGAATCTCATACAGTAATAATTGTCATCTGTAAGTAGCACTAAATGGCACCTTAAAATTATTCCAGCTGACTGTTGTGAAGGCTGTGTAGATGATGACAGTCCAGCTGTTTGCTTGTTAGACAGCCCAGTCATTGCCTCTTCTGGTTTGTTTTACTTAAATTAGGAAATAATTCTAATGTATTCAGTTAAGTAATTCAAATTGTGTCACTCTAGCATGCACTGGTGTTAAAAAATCTGAGATCGTGTGCGTAATAGGGATTTTTGAAAGTCACAAAGGTGGGGCGTAAACTGGAGCTGCAGTTCTGAAGTTGCAAGTCAAATTCTTTGACTAAAAAATATGAAATATTTCAGCTGTTTCTGTAAATTCAGTTTCATCCCTTTGAGGGTGTACATTTTGCTGTGATCTTTAATTACAAGCTAACACAATGCAGGTTTGTATACCTTTGTGACTGAGTCTCCTAATGTCTTTAGAAAGTCTTTTGGCTACAGGTGCTATGTAGTTACTGCTCCTCCTAAACAGAATAGGCACGTTTTTCAGCTTTACTTACCTGCACTGGGGACTGCTTTGAAAACAAAACAGAAATGTGTCTTAGTGGCAGGTCCTTCCCTTTGCGAGAAGGAGTACTGCTGAAGGTTTTGGAGCCCTTGAAAGACAGGAGAGATGGGCAGTAGCGGTCATTACTCTTTCAGGGCAGGGCCAGCCTTACTTCTTGGGTAAATTAAAAGTAAAGAACTTGAATTAGTGCAGGTATAGGAGTGTAATTTAACTTTCCTCCCCAAAACGTACCTCAAAAAAGCAGCTCACTCGGAAAAAACTAACCTGATTGTGTGCTTCTAGTTTAAGATTAAGTGAGTAGGCATGTGTTGGATGCTATTGAAAGTAAAGCAGATTTTTAATTTTTTTTTTTTTTTAATTTCATTAAGCAGGTATCACTGTTCACATAATACAGCCCTCAAAATGGGAAGCTGGTAGCTACCAAAGCTGCAGCAATGACCTTCTCCCACTCTTCCCCCAAAGCCCTTCTGCTGACCTATGCAGAGCGTGAACTACAGTACTAAATGGGAACCAAGATCTGAAAAATACGCATGTTTGCTGCACATATTCTTCAGGAAGAGCTTCATGCAGCCACTCTTGTGCTTGCTGTGTTTTCAGGATGGACTGTTAGCTTCTCTGAAGCAGGATTTGAATACCTCTGGCTAGGGACCTGCAGAATAAGTCTGTCATCTTCTCGCCCTGTTCCCTGTATAGAAATCCCAGCTTGCTGTATTTTGGCTGGGTGTAGTGATGTTCCCTGGGGAATAGCAGCATCAGGAGATTAGTCATAAGTATCACTAACTGTGTGTTCAAGAAGACATCTAAGACCCGATTTCTTTTTTTTTTTTTTTTTTTTTTGAGCACTTAACCATCATACTGCTTATAACCTACTCAGTTATGGCTGCTGTTGACTTCAGTTGCTGTTGTCTGTACTTGGCACTATTATGGGCCTCGCTTCTCAAGTTAGCTGCTGAAATATAAAAAGAACAGTATCCAGTTAATTCTCTGAGAAGTTTTGATTTAAGTGTTTCACCTGGCATCTTGTAGGAGCTCAGGTGTGGTGGGGGAGGTAGAAGCTACAGCTCTGCAGGAGTTGGCTGCATTACTGAGGCTGTTTCTTCTTTGTCCCCTTCTTCAAGGAGAAGGCAGGTTCCTCCATGAGCCTGTCCTTCACTGCGCATTTCTGATTAACTTCTGGAGATGGTCCATGCTGTACACTTTTGAAGCATAGGTCTAGGGTGAGGAGTGGTATGTGCTTGTGCATTCAAAGGTTGCTTGATTATGTATGGAGAAAAGGGACTGTTCTGAATTCTGCTAATTCTGGCGTCTCAGTCAAGGGGTATTCTGTTAACATTTTTATTGGTCATCAGCAAGACCCAATTTCCATGTTTACTTTAAGACCTTTGTCACTTGATGTAATAAAAACTCACAGCAATGTAGAGACGAATGCGGGTTTATACATAGTGAAAAAAGTGGGCTCACTGTGCTAGCAAATTTTATCAATATTTGCTTATGAAGGATTGTGGGTACAGACCTAGACTTTGTAGGAGCAGTGTAGGCATGTGCCACTCTGCTGTGGCTTCCTGGTGTCGCAATCTCTTGTAATCCTTTCTTTCCCCAACTCCATCCTTTCTTAAACTCTCATTATCTAATCCATTTCAAAAATACTTCTTAACTTGGTCTTGGACTCCCTTCCCCCCAGCACAGTTTGCTCTTGCTCTGAACTTGTCTCCTCCTCCCAGATTCCTTGTTCATATTTATCCCATCTCTTTTGTTGGCACTTTGTCCTAGTCTCAATCTAAGAACCTTAACTCCTTCCCTGTCTCTGTATCTGACTGATGCTCACCTTCGTCTGTTTGGGTCTGTGTACCTTCTGGGTTCCCACTTGTAGCCCTCAGGATTCGCGATTTCCTTGCCAGACCCTCTGGTAGCCTTCGACAACTCAAAAGTAGCTTTTCCTCCTTTAGGGCATTTCAGCAGACTCCTTTCCATAGTTTGTTTGCTTTTGTGTGGGTTCCCCCCACCCCCTAAAGAAGGATTTTATTCTTTTTACCTTCAAAGGGGAGGGCTTCTCCCTGTTCTGTGGCAGTCCAACAGATTCCCTAGCAGGAGGCCCCATACTCTATTCACATGCAGGCCTGCCGTTACAGGAAGAATTGCTTCACCTATGAGCTGGAGCATGGGCTGTGTCTGGGTGCTGCGTGTAGCCTCTCCAAGGGAATTCTACTCATTGAATTCTAGGAAGTTTAAGGTCATATGTGAATTACAAGTGTTTTTCTTTCCCCCAAGGTATGTAATTTAACCATAGCTGGATGGATTTTGACAAAGAAAACAAAAGACTACATTTTTCATTGTCAGTCACATTGAGATGAATTTCCCTGTTCTGCTGGATAATGCTAGAGCTTTGTAAAGGGAGGAAGAAAGTGGGAATTTTTTAACTTGGGCAAATCGTATCTCTTCAAAATTGGATGAGCCATTTGAACCGAAATGTTCAATAAACACTGAGCTGGAAGCAGCATCCAAACTAGACTTGGGTAAAGTTGTAAGTAGCTGTTGGAACCGTTTCCTAGAAGGAAATGCTGGGTGACCCTCAGACAGCACTGTCAGTTTTAAGTTGTCCTTCTTGATTGCTGCCAGTATGTTCTCTCTGTGCTTTGAAATTAATCATGGGATAACAAACATACCAAGAGACAATTTCTGTCCAAGCCTTACATTTCAGGTGGGATGGGGATTCCTGCAAGAAATGATACGGAAACTTATCCAGGCATAAGGGTGCTTGACAGTGAACTTGATACTTCATGAAATAGAGAAAGGAGAGATGAAAAGAAGGTGGAATGGGAAATGAAAACTGTTAGAAGGCAATAGGGAAGAATCACAATAGGACTTAATGTGCAGCCATCCTCCTTGCTGACAGTCCTGCTTTGGTTTTGAGCAGTTTCAGTAGATGTCTCTTGGTCAATTATGGAGTCATTGCAGGCTTTCTATGTGTTATGCACAATTAGAGTCTAAAAATAATTTGCATACTTGGTGAAAAGTCTCTTCTGTTGCTTTTTAAGAGATATTTCTTCATAAATAACAAACTCTGACTTCACACCGGTGCCCGACTTGCATTAATGTCTCTGATAGAATTTCCTATTAAAATAATAAAGCAGTATTGGCACCTTTCAAGTCTGCTCTGTGGAACACAATAATTACATAGACGCTTTTGCAGTAACTGGAGTAGGAGTCTCTGGAACTTTCTTTGCAGTATGCTTACAATTAAAATATACCATGATTGTCTTTTGATTCAACTCACTCATAATGGAAATAACCTCCTGGAACAAGTCTCTTCTGGGAGTTGATACATCTGAAGTAGCCACTGTAGTCTGTTGGCCACCCAGGTTTTACTGCAACTGTTTTGGTGACACCAGGCAGTGAGCTTGAATGCAGAGTATCTTCTGGAATTAGTATGATTCTTTGCTTTTTAGCTCTGGAGGCTTGTTCATCACTGACCCTCAAGTTGTTTTTCTCTCCTCCAGGGAGAGACACCGGGGAGGGATTGCTCCTGGATTTCAGGTGGTACATCTGAATTCTGTGACAGTGGACAACCGCCTAGACAATCTGCGCCTAGTTCCTTGGGGTTGGAAACCCAAAGCTGAAGAAATCTCTAGTAAACAAAGGTATGTCAATAATTGGCAGGGGGTTGCCATCAAAAAAACAAACGTCTTAAATTGTTGTGCCTCCTTCCTTCAGTGATTTTCATCTTGGCAGAGCCTTTTTTATTTGACCTTGGGCTACTTACACATCACTGTATGTCTTAACTTCCTCACCTGAGGAACAGAGTTAATGCTCACTGTTCATGCTAGCTGTGAAGGGACCATCTAACCCCATGGTATTATGCAGAGGTCCTGCTGTGCCAGATGTTGTCACCGCAGTAAAACAGTAAGCCTGCATTCCCTTCTGCTTGAGTGATGGCATCTGGGCACGCTGAATTCAGTCTGCAGATTTTACTGGATTGTGGCTCTTGTCCTTAGGCACTGAAATTCTAACAGCCTGTAGAAGCCAGAAGCTGCAAATGCTTACACTTGTAATTGTATATTTGGGTTGAAAACAAAATGAGTTCCTGGGATCAGCTTCTATTGCCTTTCACTTAGTAGGTTGTGGGAACTTCCTACATGCTGTGTTGCGCTAATGTTACTCAAAGCACATCAAGCTCTTAATGTCAGGATGGATTTGTTTAATTTGTGTTGTAATGCAGGTGTGTTCATTTTTGGTGGAGACCCATAGACTTAACATCACACTAGACACTTTTCTGCAGCACCCATAAGATGGGGTTGTTAGAGCTTATTAAACTGATTTTGAGATGTAGTGAATGGCAATGATGCTATCCTAGCATGTTTCTGTGAGTTCAAGAACAAGAAATGGACTTCAGGCCATTTACGCAGAAATAATTTTGCTTGATGTAAATGTTTCTTGATAGATACTTTTTAACTTTTTTGCATTTAGGCTAAAATAATCCTAAAAAGATGCTATATTAGAGGAGTATCTGTAGTCTGAGTCTTAACAAGCTAAATACAATGTTAACCCTACCTACTTTATTAATGAATTTAGAATCAATTTCCCTGTATGCATATTATGAATTTATGGACCAAACTTTCATTTGTTTTTTACAGGGAACAAAGTCTGTATTGGCTGGCAATCCAACAGCTTCCTACAGATCCTATAGAAGAGCAGTTTCCTGTACTGAATGTAACACGATATTACAACGCTAACGGGGATGTTGTGGAGGAGGAAGAGAACTCATGCACATATTATGAATGTCACTACCCCCCATGCACAATGATTGAAAAACAGGTGTGTTCAACAGAGTTGAAAGTAAGCATGTAATGACTTAGGCTACCATGTATGTCCAGGGATTTGTTCCTTAAAATGTAAAGCTTTATGTGTGCCATTCAGTTGCTGAAAGTGGTAATTCGTTTTAACTCGGGTTTTCTTTGGCATGAATCTTCAGACCCTATGATAATGTTCAGTTTGAGAGAATATAGTTTTGAATAGGGACAATAAATGACCTAGTGGCTTACTGGGAGGAGTGTAATTTCTGCCGAGTGTATGAAAAGACAGGTGGAAGCATTCCTCTAGGGACCCAGAGCTGGAATGAGCAAGCAGCTGTATAAGACAGGAGGAAGAAGCACTGTAAGAGGTTTTGGGCAGTGATGGAATAAAAAAAAAAAACATGCTTGACCTTCCATGAGAAGAGGGTGGATTTGAGTGGCCTTTATTCAGGGGAGAACTGGGAGGAAAGCTGGTTCTAGTTCTTTGCTGTAGGTAGATGAAATGAAGCAACATACATAGAGAATGGCAGAGAATGAGATGTCCAAGGGCTGCACCTCTTTGTCAGACAGATGTCCTTATCTATGAATAAGAAGGGCTTTTCTGGTGATAACAAATGCTGAGTAGACTAAAATAATTTTGTTCCACTTTTTTCCTTGGGGAAGAGAACGTTTGCAAAAATGGTCTTAAATGCCCTCCATTTGAAAAAGAGTGAGCTTTACCTTTTATTTGGGTCTGCATACGAAAGCTTCCTGGATAACCATAAGTTTGGCAATGGCTGAGGTTGTGCAGCCCTCCTGATCATTTCTGAATTTAAGATTTTTGTAGTTGTAAACAGAACTTCAGTTGCAAAGCAGTAGCAGTATGAGAATAAATGTGAAGTGCTCAAATATTTTGCCTATTAAGCCCATAATGTGATTCTGCAAGAGCAACTGCAAAATCAACAAATGCAATTACTTCAAAACCTTTTGATACTCTGACACTCATGGCAGGATGTTCATATTTGTGATAGGTGCAAAAGACATGATCATAAACCTACTCAGGAAATGATGTAGAGGTGCTCCTTGGCACTGAGCAGGCTCACTAATGCTGTCTTGTCTTCCTCATAGTTACGTGAATTCAACATTTGTGGCCGATGCCAGGTAGCGAGGTACTGTGGGTCACAATGCCAGCAAAAAGACTGGCCTGCTCACAAGAAACACTGTCGGGAGAAGAAGCGGACCTTCCAGCAAGAGCTTGGACCAGAACGATGACTGGGTGGCACAGGCCTCTTAGCAGCAGGATTCCTTCTCAAAGGCATTGGACTCTTGCTTTTGCACAGTAATGACAGACTGCTTATTGAAGCCAGAGGCACTGAAGAAGAAAAACCCTGTGATGCTTGAGCAGAACGGCTGACTGGACTAAGCCAGCTCTGACTGGTGCTGTGGAAAGGGATTGGGTCTACCCTTCCAGTATTATATTCTCAAGCAAAAAGACTACTGTGGAGGCTCCAGGCAGGAAGCTTCTCATTATTTATATGTTAATACGTTTGTAAACTCATGTACAGTTTTTGTTAGAAATTCTTGATAGGACTCATTAACTGTAATGTTCAGATGAGAACATGTTGTTGGCCTAAAAGTTAAAAAAAAAAAAAAAAAAAAAAAAAAAAAAGAAAAAAAAATCATGTAGCAAAAGCTTTTCCTCCCATGTGGCTAGAAGTATCTGTGGCTGTGCCAAGGCCAGAAGGCAGGCTCCGACATCA